GGGGGGGGGAGCGGGTCTGTATGGGGGATCCGACCCCTAGGCGGGAGCGCCACCGCGCTCCCAAGTGGCGCACTGTAGCAGTGCGCCACCGGGCCGGCCCCTGTAGTGCATTTTTAAATCATTAACCTTTTCGAAGAACATTTATTTACATTTTACTTTTGCTCCTAAATAATTATTATTTTAATGAATAATAGATTTCCAAAAGCACATAGGAATTATACTGAAATTTAGGAATCTCTAAAATATCCCTGAACATTCAACATCTTTGACATTCAAAGCATCAGATTTATTCAGCTCAGAATAGGATAGCATTTTTAGCCAAGGATGGCAGTAGGCCACACCCCTTAATAGTACTCTATAAACACTGATGCAAGAAAAACCCATGCAGCCAGACTAGAAGATCTTTCCTTCTCACACAAAGATACATAAAGACAATGCTGCTCAAAGACAATGTCAACAACCTGTTCAGGTTTCACCAGTTTTATATTATGTAAGTAGCTCATACTAATCTCTTAACATTTAATAATTTGGTTATACATTTTGAACTCCAGAATATCCATAGTTACAAAATGAGAAATGCTGTATGATTTCATTTATATGAGGTTCCTAGAGTAGCAAAATTTATAGAGATAGGAAGTACAATGGAGGTTGCCAGGGGCTGGGTGGAGGGAGAATAGGGAATTATTGTTCAGTGGGCACAGAGTATCCATTTGGAGAGATGAAAAGAGTTGCAGAGATGGGTGTTATTGATGGTTGCACAACAATGTGAGTTCACTTAATGCCACTGTACTGGCTGTATAATGAAAAATGATTAATATGGAAGGAAAATGAAGTTTAAGGAACTTACCCAATAACTGTAGTTACTAAATTACCGCCTGCTTTTGAAGCAGGTTTAGTGTTTAATCAATCTTCAACACTGAGAAGTTGAAATAATGAGGAAACAGAAGTCTTCAATTAAAGAAATAGGAGGGTTTTGAGGTCCTTCAGGAAAGTGATTCTGAGGGCCATAACTAGGGATTTCATAGAAGTACTAGGTATAGAGAGTGCATGTTAGATATATGGAAGTGCACAGCTCACAATATTTTTGCCATTAAAGAATACATTTGGCGATGAGGGGGTGCATTTCCATGATGATTAACTTTTAAACAAGCACCTTAAACCTCAAGTACTATTCTGTTAGTACAATTACAATAATCAAGGCATGTAATCACGGATTGAGTAAGTCTATTGAACTTACTTGCCCAGTCAAGACTGACATTTGATTAGGATGCATATGTAAAATAGGATGCAAAGGAAATACCTATGAAAGAGATGGACTCCTTCTGCCTTGTAATTTTATTGAATTAAACCCTATCCTTGAGAATGAATTAGTGTCCACATCCCTGCAGTCTTAGCCACATTTATACAAGAAGTTAGAACAGTTGTTGTACCAGCAGGTCAGAGAATAAAATGCCTTTAAAGATTTAGATATTCTTGGAACTTGAAAAGAAATTAACCTATGGCTAGGGTTTTAAATTTTGCTACTCTATGGCTGTGTAAGGAACTAAGTTTTATCATCTTTACTTGGTAAAAGTTGCTTTACTGTGACCGTAAGGAGAAGCAGTCTTGCAACAGTAAAGTACCTTAATGAGAGTGTGCAGTTTTCATTGTATTCCTTGTGAGGACATATTTTAAGAAGGCTATTTTTGTTTTCACTGTGCAACTCTGTAAAGTCCAACTAAATGTACTAACAAGTCTAAATGAAGTTATGATTCCATCTCAAACTTAGTTTCCAGGTCTGAAAGCTCAACCTGAGAATATCAGTCTTTTTGTTTGGAAAGTAAAAATGCCTTCCCAGATGAAGTAATTTCAGGAGGTTTCAGTGAATGGTGATATGTTAGAGATGTGTAACCTTTATTATCAAGTAATAAGCTTTTATGTCATTAAAATATTGATTTAATTCAGCTTCTAAGAATATTGACTATGCATAATGTAAAGCAAACAAAATATAAACGACAAAGTATATGAAAGTTTGTGAATAATTTCCTTGTCATCTATGTTGGGATCAGATTTGTTACTTGCAATTTATCAATGATTTTGATTCAATATGCCAATTAATCAATACTCAAATGAAATAATTATCACAAAAACCTTCAAAATCAGAAAAAAACGTTAATCATATGTTAAAGTTAAAACATTTTTTGCAAAAGGCAGATGAGGCATTCAAAATAGGTTTCATCATTTTCACATAAATGCTTTTCAAGAAATGTGTGTTTCACATAGAGTGTTGTAAATAATAAAAAGTCTCTCACGGATTACTCCTTTTGCAGTGTCACTCCTGTTTGAAATCATGGAAAATGGGAATATCACCACATATTTCATTCTCCTAGGACTCTTTAACACCACCAGAACCCACCAGTTTCTGTTTGTGATGGTCCTGACGATTGCTTTCACCTCTCTAGTGGCCAATGCCCTTGTGCTTCTCCTGATTTTCAGGGACCGCCAGCTCCACACACCCATGTACCTCCTCCTGAGCCAACTCTGCCTCATGGATCTGATGCTGGCTTCCACTACTGTGCCCAAAATGGCTGCTGACTACCTGACTGGAACGAAGTCCATCTCCTCTGGTGGGTGTGGGTTGCAGATTTTCTTCTTGGTTACTCTGGGTGGTGGAGAGTGTTTCCTCCTGGCTGCCATGTCTTATGACCGCTATGTGGCTATTTGCCATCCACTGAGATACCCCAACCTCATGAGCTGGCAGTTTTGCCTGAGAATGATTTCGGGGTCTTGGTTCCTGGGAGCAGCCGATGGACTCATGCAAGCTGTTGTTGCCTTGAGCGTCCCATTTTGTGGTGTACACGAGATCGATCAATTCTTCTGTGAGGCTCCCATGTTGATGCGCTTGGCTTGCACTGATACATCTGTCTTTGAGTATGTCATGTACGTCTGCTGTGTGTTAATGCTCCTGGTCCCCTTTTCCATCATCCTGACCTCTTACAGTCGCATCCTCACTGCTGTTCTGCAAATGCATTCTAGGGAAGCCGGCAAGAAGGCCATTGCCACCTGTTCGTCACATTTGGCTGTGGTGGGACTCTTTTATGGAGCTGCCATTTTTATCTACATGAGACCCAAATCCTACAGGTCAGCTGACCACGATAAGGTGGTTTCAGCATTCTACGCTATCTTCACCCCTGCATTCAACCCCCTCATCTACAGTCTGCGGAACAGTGATGTCAAGGGAGCCCTGAGGAAGTGGATGGGTCAGTGTGCTGCCTTAAATCGTTATTAGGAAAGCATTAATTTGCCCCAACTTTCATGGCAATACAAAGTGATTATGTGGGATTTCCTGGAGAGAAGGTACATTCTTCTGTACATGTACATCTTTTGTTTCTGTTTTACATAGAATTGCATGCTAATCTCCATACTTTGGGTTGATTTACTGAGATGTAATCACCAGATCAAATTGTGGAATACTAAAAATTTGTGAGTCATACATCCTTAATAAAATGTATCCATATAATGCCCCATAATGAATTGTTGTTCAAAGGGTGAATTAACTATTCAAGCAATTTTAAGGGGCTAATTGCTGCCATTTGTTTCAAGTAGAGGTGTGATTTTTACACAATAGAAAGTTCACATGTGAGGCATTGCTTTAAAGCAATGGCAAGGAGTACCTGCACTTCTAACTTACTAGGAATATCAAGAGACCATGTCCACCAGGCCTAAAGGGCCCTCAGGCCATTTTCCTGTGAAACTCTTATCTAATGTACAATTACTGGTCTCATTTTTATCCCCATCTGTTAGTTTGGCCTACTGTAAAATTTCTTATTAATGGAAACCAAGAATAGGTATTTTATGGATCTTTTTTCTTTCTCTCAGCTTAAAATATTTTTAAGGATTCCTCCACAACTTAATGTTTGTAAGTTCACCAAGGATGGAGAAGCCAGCTGGGCAAAGGAAGAAAAAAAGATTTTATTAGCAAGTGGCAAGTGGACCTGCTGCTCTGAGCTGAAAAATGGCATCAGCCGTGGGAGGCAGTTGGGTGTCTTTTATAGGGTTAAGATTAACATCTGGCCTAGCCTAGGAAGACAGTTAACCATTGTTCTATTCCAGGTACATCTTGCTCATGGGAACAGACAGAATCCTTGGCCTACCTGAGGGAAACAGTCACAATGTTACACGCTGTGTACAGCTTGCTCAGCCTGCTGGTGGGAACAGAGACTTAGGGAGATAGAAATTTAGAGGAATGAACAAAACCAAAGGGTGCGGGCTTTCAAAAAGTCAGGTTCTCAGTTCCAGGGACCTAGCAATATTCATCAGTAGTTTACTCTTTTTAATCACTAGTTGTATTCCATTTTCTGGATATATCACCATTTGTTTACCTACTATTTTGTTGAAGGACATCTGGACTATTTTCACTTTGAAGCTGTTATGACTAAACCTTTTTGTGATCATATATTTCTATTTCTCTTGGTAGATGTATAATGAACTATTTAGGAAACTATTTTTTCAGAGAGTTGTTCAATTTTATACTCCCACCAACAATGTTCATGAAGTCCCATTGCTCCCAATACTACCTTTTTATTTATGTATTTATTTATTTTAGGAAATTCTAGTAAGTAACTAGAGTAACTCTTTTTGCCTTAATTTGTATTTTCCTAATTACAAGTGAGGTTGAGGATTTTTGCATTAGCTTATTGCCTGGTTGTGTATCTTCTTTTGTGAACATGCTATTTTATTTTATTTTTTAAATTTTTTAAAGGAATTTGCTTATTTTTTAATTGAAAGATAATTGTACATATGTATGGGTTACAGAGTCTTATTTCAGTACATGCATACCGTGTGCCATGATCAAATCAAGGTAATTAGCATATTCATAATTATGAAACTTTATCTTTTTTAAATTGATGCATAATTGTACATATTTGTAGGGTACAATGCTGATTATCAATAGTTGTGTACAGTATGTGATGGTGTGAGGAAAGTAGAATAATTTAGTCAGGCTCCCTGGACATTTCTGGTAAACAAGTTGTGTGGGTGGAGTTAGTGTGCATGGGAGCCCATGTATCTTTCTAGTTAATAGCTATTGTGCAGTTCTGCAGTTTGCAAGCAGGCTGGCGGCAGAGAGCTCCTGTTTAATAGAGCATGTTTACTCTCTTGGCAGCTGCTGGGTTTCAGTTTGTCTTTAGACCTTGCCCGAAGCAGTTGAGTTTCTCAGTTTCTCTGCGGACTGCTTAGCTTATAGTGTAGTGTGTGCTGAATAAAGACTATTCCTTCTTCAACAAAGCCTCCAAGGACCTTTTTGCCGGTTACCTAGCCTCATAGACCTGCGTGTGAATGGTTTGCAAATGGCCTCAAGGGGTCTGTGAGCTCCAGACCCAGCCCTACCTCTACAGATGGTCAACTCAAAATCATTAATGTATTCATCACTGTAATACATAATCATTTTTTGTGTCCATTTACCAGTTTCTCACTAACCCCCTTCCTCCTCTCCCTCCCCCTTTTCTCTTCTAGTAACTATAGCTATGTTCTCTCCTTCTGAAAGTTCAATACATGATTGTGATTGTTCTTTCTTTTTCTCTCTGTCTCTTTTTTTGCTGTTTTGGAAAATCTTTATCATTTCTTTGGGATGCAAACTTTCGATCTTGTCTCTTTTAGCTTTTAGAGAACATACAATAAATTATTGTTAATTAAAGATGCCTAGCAAAACTGTCTACTGTCTGTTTTAGTCTCTGAAAAACAAAACAAAACATGTAGATTCTTTCACAAAGAAGACAACCTGTGGGTTCACTCATAGACAAAACATGATATTCATACAACTATTCAGAAATTTAGAAAAAACCTATATATTGGGTTATTTGTTTTTATATTTCTAACATACTTGTTTTAATTCAATGCCTAAGATTTACTATTTTAACTAAATATGTAACATATTTTTCAACTTCTCCAATTTGGTTGAAACTATAAATTTATTTGTTTGTTTCTTTCAATTAAGCATTGTAAAAAAATATTCCGAATCCATTGAAGGGATTATGCCATTGAAAGTCTGAATTGTTTTTTCTAGGAGGTAATTTTTGCTGAGATATCAAATGTCAGGTAAGGAAGGACAAAAATAGGGTATCAAAATGTCAGGGTTCAGGTGTCCTGAGCATATTTCTTATCTTTGGCTAGTAAATGATTGTAAACCTACAATAATTTTAAACAAGAAATTTGGCACATTTAAAGTAACTTGATTTTACAATGGACATAAATATAATTATATGTATATTTATATATCTATTTCAGTATGAATACATATTTATGTGCTTTCCAATGACAAAATTAAATACAAAATTACATATAGGAAAATAGTTTAAGATAACATGTAGAAATTAATTTTATTTTTTTACTTTGACTATTTTTGCTTTAATCTGAATCCCATCTTTAATAACTTTTTTTTTCTTGAATAGCATTTTAGTCAGAATTGTTTTTCCTATCTTACATTATATAAAAACGAGAAGGGTCTAGAAAAGACAATATAAGGGAGAATGAGCTAGCTTCAATTTTGAAGATCCATGGAGGTATTTTGGAAGTGCACATTAAGATTATAGTGAAGAAAAGCTAGTTTAAGAATTTGTCCCAAACCTGAACATCATGCTTCAGAATCTCTAATGGAACTCTTCCAATTTAATATATTTTAAATCTGTTTATTCCCATAAACACAGGCATACTTTGGTCAAAGGGTGATTTCATTAGATATTTTGCCTCCACCATAAAAATGAATGAAATTCTGCCTTTTGCAGCAACATGGATGAACTTGCAGAAAATTAAGTGAAACAAGACAGGCACAGAGAGATAAATACAATATGTTCTCACCCATTGTGGAAGCTGAGAAGTTAATCTTGTAGAAGCAGGGAGTTGAATAGTGGTTACTAGAGACTAGGGGGTCATGGGGAGGGGGGACATTGGATACAAAATATTAGAGAAATAGGAAGGAAGAATGGGATCTACTGTTCTAAGTAATGAAAGGAGACTATCGTTAGCAACAAAATACTGTGTGTCTTTTTATAGCTAGTTAAGATGATGTTGAATTTTCCTGAAACAAAATATGTGACAAATGTTCTAGGTGATGGACACATTGCACACAGTGTGAATATACCCAAATATCATATTTTGCTCAATATATCTATACTCTTGTTGTAGGTCAATTAAGAAAAATAAATTAAAAAGAGAGAAAAAAGGAGAAATAAAGAGAATAGTGATCATCAAAGGCAGGAAAGGGGGGTGGTTGGGGGCCAGGGAAAGGTTGGCAAACTGATACAAAGTTCCAAAGTTACTGGTGTCCTAGGGTGACAATAGCTAATAATATTGTATTGTTTGCTTCAAGATAGCCAGAAAAGAGAATCTTGAATGTTTTAAGCACAAAGAAATAGTATTTAGGTGATAGTTATTCTAAATAAACTGATCAGATCATTATATAATATATGCATGTGTTGAAACAACAAACTGTATCCCATAAACTTGTGCAATGAAAAAAAAATAAAGTTTTAAACATAAATTTTATCTCCATATTCTCTTTTAAAGACAAAACTAAGTGAATTTACCTCTCACCCAGAGGATGTAAAAATGTTTAACTTGTCATAAAATAGCTAAATAACAAAAAAAATAGTAAATGTAAAATATATTTTATTCATTCACATACTTACTTTGTGACTACATTTTACCTACTGTTTCACCTTCGGTTTTCCCTTTTATTTATTACCATGTCCTTAGTAGGTAGGTTCAATGTTAAGTTCATTTTTGGAAAACAGAATCAAACTTATTGGGGCAAAATTCATTTGCTGGTTTCTCAGAAATCTGAACCCAGTTGTTTGATTTTAAATGGCTCACCCTTAGTTAGGGAAGGGCCAGTTAGCATAGTAGGACTGAACACCCGGCCCCCCACATACATACACAGAAAATAGGCGTTGCCAAATGGGTTTTTATGTTGGGTGAAAGTGTTAGAAGTTGGTGGGAAAATGGTGTGTTATTTTACAGTGTGAGTTCTCATACTAGGACTTCTGGATTTAAAGTCTGGGTTAAGCCTGATAACCTTGGGAATGTAGATTAATCTCTGTAGTCCCAATATGGTCATTTGATGATTTAATAAAATAATAAATGTAAGATACTAATAAATGTAAGATTCTTAAAACCTTGCCTGACATTTAAAAATACTCACAAATGTTTAACTGTCATATTAATAATGGATAAAACAATAAATTAGCTAAATGCCTTTTGCTACATTTTCTTACATCTTTATTTTTGTGATCATTTAATTGACCCATGCATCAAAAGTAAATTTCAGCATAGTCACATAAAGTGAATTTCTTTTTCATCTTCCTCTGTATTATAGGTGGACTGTGAAATAAGTGTGTTTTTTCATTTACTCTTCAAACCTCAGGGGTGTCCAAATGCTGGCTGAGACAAAATCCACAAAGTGATTTGCCCTAGTGTTTCTACTGGTATAAGAGACAGGCCACACACAGATCCTGTAATAGAGAATGTGCTCTCAGGCTCTGAAGAGTGGGAATAAAATGTGCTATAGATAGATAGATAGATAGATAGATAGATAGATAGATAGATAGATAGATAGATAGATAGATA